TATAACACTGTTCTAGTGGTTTTTGGATATTTTAATAAAAAAATCTTACATATTGTGCCTTTAAACAGCTTTAAACATTTTTAAAACTTAATTTTGGGCTGCTGATTTTACTTTTTTATTTTTGTTTATTTATTTTTTATTAAAAAAAAAATATATTTTGCATAAATATTATATTTTGTGCATTTTAGTTTGCACTACTGATTTTATTTTAATTAATAAATGTTTGCAATATTGTTTAGACTTTTTTTTTTTTTTTAAACCGTTTGTCTTTATACTCTGTGGCAATACAAAGCTACAGTTTGCCACACACAAAAAAAACATCAAAAGAAAATATATAGTTTGTATATTATATTTTATGCACTTAATTTTACACTACTGGTAGTGCTGCACGATTATGACAAAAATTATAATTGTCGATTATTCCCTTGAAATTGTAATTGCGATTATTAATTACAATTATCACAATTTACATTGAATGATGTTTATACCATTGTTTGATGCAATTGCATGCCGTATTTTTTTATGAAAATAAACAAGCTGAAAACACTCTTAACTGAAAAACCTTTAGTGCTTTTCTATAGTATTAAGCCTCGAATGTCAACTATACATTGGATTGGTTTCTTCTTGGCACTATTATTTTTACAGTTATTTTTGAACAGTTTCTTATCGCATACTGTGACAGTGCAAAGATACATTTTGTCACATTAAAAATAAATAAAAAATATATTTTGTAGAAAAATATATTATGTGCATTTATTTTGCACTGCTGATACTTTAATTGCTAAAACTATTTTATTATTGTGACTTATTTTTTAATAATTTATTATTGTATTCTGTGAAAATACAAAGCTACAGTTTTTGTCATGCTCAAAAAATATAATTCAAAAGGACAAAAATATATATATATTGAATAAATATTATATTTTATGCATTTTATTTAGCATTTAATTGTTAAAATTACTTGCACTATTATATTTCGTTGTATGCTGTGGCAATACAAAACTACAGTTTGCTGCATTAAAAAAAAAAATATATATATATATATTGCATTGCTGATATTATTTTAACTGTTAAAACTGCTATGTATTTGCTATGTAAATATGCTGTATTTTAACTTAGTTTTGAATAACTTAATCAGAAATGTTTCTTGGGCAGCAAATCAGCATATTAGAATGATAATAAGATCATGTGACACAGAAGACTGGAGAAATAAATTACATTTTACAACATATTCACATAGAAAACAGATGTTTTACACTGTAATAACATTTCACAATTTTTAATGCATTTTTGATCAAATAAATGCAGCCTTAGTGAGCAGAAGAGACTTCTTTCAAAAACAAAGAAATCTCACGACCCCAAACGTCTGAATGCTACAGATGTTAAACGTATGTTACAGACACGCACCTGTCCCACTCGCACAGACACCGGCAGCGGTCTGAGCTCCTCGTCGAATGTGACCAGCATACGAGGCTGCATCGCCGCCACCAACCCGTACAGAACGTAATGAGACTTCCCCAGGATTACTGCACACAGACACACTGCATTATTTCAGACACATGTTAAGACAGATACTACAGGCACTGCAGTGAAGCTCTTACTGTTCTTGACGTCCAGGAAGGACACGAGGACCGTGAGGAGTCCAGCTACAGCCACCTGACTCATGAGCTGCCGGTCACTGTGATACGGACAGAGCGTCAGCGTGCCTTTCCCCAAATGAGTGAGACCCTGAAACACACACACACACACAGACACACACACAGACACACAGACCACACACACAGACCACACACACAGACACACACGCACAGACACACACGCACAGACACACAGACACACAGACACGGGGAATTAAGGAAATGTCACCATCTCTAACAAACCTGTCAAGAACACGCCAGTGTTATATTTCAGCACAAAAAAAGGAAAAACTCTTAAATAAAACACCAATAAAAACACTGTAATAAATCGTTTTCGTATTTTAATTATAATTATTATATTTTATATTATAATATGAAGAATTTATCAGTTATTGTTAACTAAAACAAACTATTAAGAATCGGTTTCATTAGTTGAAAAAAGCTGAAATAAAATACAAACATTGGATGAAAAAAAAACTTGCCTTGACAACTAACTTAAATAAGTACTAAAATGACTAAAACTGAAATAAAAATAAAGCTAAATTTAATTTTTTTTTTAAATGGCAAAAGCACAATTTCTACAATTAAAATGAAAACTAAAAAAATAACAATATTTATATAATACTTATATAATTGTTAATATAACTTATTTGAATATATTTTTATATATGTATAATTTCTCCAAATTGTAATAGATATTATAATAGTATATTAATACTAAAATAACACTATAACTTTCACTTATATATAATATATACTTTATTCAAAATACTTTTGATTTTATATATTTTTATAAATCTTAAATTGTAGAACTAATAAGAAATAAACTCTAATTTTTATATTATGAAATATCTATCATAGTTGTTATCATTAACTAAAACTATGAATAATTAAAAAAATGTAAATAAAGTGAAATAAATTTTGAAATAAAATATATATAATATTAGATGAAAAACTTGAACTTAAAAACACAAAAAGAAGAAATGTTGCCTTGGCAACTAACCAAAATAAGTACAAAAACGAGTAAACTGAAATTAAAATAAAGCTAAATCGACATATTTGGGAAAAACAAAAACGGCAAAAGCACATCAAATGACTAAAGCTTAAACTAAAATTAAAATAAACTAAGTAAAAAACAAAGTAATTAAAAATATTGATAATACAAAAAACAACACTGGGATTTAAACACACTGACAGCATTTATTGTTTACTGTCTTTAAGTTATACTGATTAAAAAAGAAAAAATACAGTACACTTATTTATTATGTATAGAAATGTGTTTTATAATTCTAAATTACATATTAAATTCAATATAAATTATTATAATAAATGATACATTTAATATATAAAATTGTACTACTCATATTTAAATAAATTAATATTTATATTTATTCATAAACAAATGTAAATAAATGAAATAAATATTATATTTTATCAATTTAATAAATGATTAGAATAATTACATTTAACGTAAAATTGTACCCGTGTTATTTTTTGTTTATTGTTTTTAATTTATGCTGATTTAAAAACAATACAGCATTGAGAATCATTCAGTTTTCTTCATACAAAATACAATATCTTATTGTTTCCTTCTGATTTTTAGGTGAATATATAGGTGATATACATATCGCCGCCTTGGAATTATAAGGTTCTATCTGCATTGTTCTATGAGCTTCAAAGATTTTGCATTCCATAGACTTCTGTAGATAGAAACCATTTTTGTTTTCTAAAAAAAGGCCCAAAATGTACACCGCTTACAAAAGAAACCTCATCAAAAATCTCAGATAGAACCTTAGTAAAGTCAATTAATTTTTACTGGCGTTTAGAGCTGTGCGTGTTAATGTGTCTCAGATCCCAGTGCTCATTAACAGTCGAAACAACAGCAGCAACAAACACAAACGAGAGCGAGTCACATGACCTGAAGTGTTGCTGAGAGACGTGAAGCCTCACCTGTGCGAGTCGGACCATGAACAGGTTGTTGGGGTCTTTGGCGTGATACTGCGCCAGCTGCCTGAGCATCGCCGCCAGACGCGCGTTATTAGTGCCTGCGGAAGAGAGCAACACAGTAACCATGACAACCGCATCCTCAGCAGCCCGCTCTGATTGGTCGAAGCACTGCATGATGTGATGGATTGGCAGGACACTGACCGCTGCCCACCATGCCCATGGCGAAGATGGCGTTGTGGGCCACCTCGGGGTCGGCGTCGTGGGAGAACTTGCTGAGCGTGTCCAGGATGTTCAGCCTCGGGTTCGAGACGGAGATCAGAGCGAGCGCTAACGGCACCGCCCTCCTTAACGTGGGCTCGCCGTAACGCAGCTGAATGCACAAGAGACAGCTTTAGCAAAATAAACAGCATGAAGAGCTCAATCTCATGCTTGTTCCTGTGGATGCATTTATTTATTTTATAATTACATATATTAAATGTAATAAATTACAACAATAAATAGTATAGTTAATATTTAAAAACATCAAATAATATTTATATTTATTAATGAATGAATTTATGAAAATACATACATTTAATAAATTACTATCATTTACTAATAATTTATATAAACATTTATTATATAATTGTATTTATTATAAATGTACTACATTATTGCATTTCATAATTAATATCTACAATTACATGATATTTATATGGTTATAAATTCACTGTAAACCACGGCTTCACGGGGCTTATTGCTTTAAAAGCTGTATGCTGTGTGTTTCAATATACATATTCAATATTCATTTACATGCCAGCAGTTCACAGTAAAAGCTGTTTTAAAATAAACGCTTGATGCTTTAAGAAATTAAGACAGCCATAAATATTAGATATAATTTTACAATACTAAACAGTAAAATAAAAACTTATTACATTTTTTTTTATTATTATTATATTATATAATTTTTCTTAAATAGTCTTTTTTTTATTTTACAGTGAAATACTGCAATAGTAATACTTATATTTTCTTTAATCATAATAATTAAAGAAAATATAATTACTAATATTTTCTTTAAGCATAATAATCATAATAAAAATAACGATAATATATTTTAATATAATATATTTTTTAAAAGATTAGTTTATAGTAATGCTGAAAAATTAATCACATAAATTCACATTTTAAATTGAGAAATTAAGACAGCCATACATATTTGTATTATAATTTTAAAATAAAATAAATTTTTCTTAAATACTGTTTTTATTTCACTGTGAAATATTGCAATTTGTAATATTTCTAATTTTAATAGACAGAAACTCAAAGATTTTCACTACAACCCACCAAAATAAAAGTATATTATATAACAAAGATAATATAGAATACATACTTCATAAATATGTATATAAGTTTGGTTTAACTTAAAGAAATCGACAAATATATTACTATTATATATATATATATATATTGCACAGTACAATGTACTTCAAGTAATAATCATACACTGTTTTTATTTTTAAAAACTTAATAAAACACTTTTTCAATGACGTTTTAATTTAAACAGTAAACCTTAAGAAAAAATGGTTAGTATTGCTCTAAAATAAAAGCTTGATTTTTTAATGTTTGAAAATGAAAAAGTTAAGACATAAATAAGCATTGTAATTTTACAATACTAAACAGCAAAATAAATTATTATTATTATTATTATTAAATGCTAATTTTTAAAATGTAGTTACAGTGAAATACTGCAACAGTAATACTTTTAACATTTTCTAATAAAATAAAAATTAGTTTCATCATAAAAACAATATCAATATCTAAAAGATTTATAATCTCAGTAAGCTATATTTCTGGTTAACTAAAGGACAAACAAAAACAAAAAAAATTGTTAATAATAAATAATAATAATTGGCATTATTATTATTTTACAGTTACAGTGATATTTTGGCCAAATTGTGCCCTACAAACAAGCACAGGAAAAGAAAAAAACACAATAATAAAAATAAAAACCTCAATGGCAACTTTTCAAATTGCACTTAGATTATTTATTGTGTGTATTGTATTGTATTTTCTTGTTACCCAGGTGGTTGAGTCCGAGGCCGAGGGGCAGCCAGCGAGCGAACGTGTCTTTGAGCTCCTGCTCGCTCTTCTCCATGATGGTCTGCAGGATGGTGGAAGTGACATCACCGTTACAGGAACCCACGGCGATCATCCCACACGCCAGCGCCGTCACTCCTGCCACCTGCACGAACACACACGGACTCATCAGATACACACTCACACACACACTCTCTCACATTATCTTACACACACACACACACACTCTCCACTGCAAACACACGCACCTCCATGCTGGATTTGGAGTCTCCCATGACAGGAAGCAGCAGCGAGAGAACATCCTCTCTGTTAGAGCCGGCGTACGCCAGACCCAACCTGCACAGACACACACGAACACAATTAATGTGATAAAAAAGCATCCTAAAATACAAAACACACAGAAACTCAAGCTCTTCACTACAACCCACCAACACAAAAGTTCAGTTTAACGAAGAAATTACAACAGAAATGTATCACTATTCTATTATATGATATATAACTAATTTGTTAAAACATTATATTTTAAGATAACAATTTTTCGTTTTTAAACTGAAAGAATTATGATTTAATAACTTTATGCATGAATTTGATTACCATTTTTAATGATCAATTTAAAATAAATCATAAAACACAGAATTCAGAATAATTAAAATAGAATTTCTGAAAAATAAAAACATATCATACAGCACTATTATTGTTAAAATTTTAATAAATTATTACATTGTTAAAAGTTTTATGAATTAAATTGATAATTAAAATTGAATTAAACCTGTAAATTAACATTTTAAAAATAATAATAAAAAAACTCTAATTTGATAAAAACTATCGTTAAATACACTCGTTAAATTACAACCCACTAAAATAAAAAGTATGTTATATAATAAATTATATAATAAATATTAAATATATTATTATATAATAAATTATATGAATAATATGTTATATAATAAATATGAAATATATTATATAATAAATTATATGAATAATAAATTATACAATAAATATGATATATTATTATATAAGCTCAGTTAGGAAAAACTTGGGATTTCATAGGGCCCTAAAACCTTCTAATTGATTTGTCATTTCTGAATTACCCGAAAATGGCTCCTATCCTCATTATGTTGCTGTTATGTAGGACGTAATCAGACAGCAGCGCCAGAGCGGGATCACACTCGTTACGAACGCCGGAGTTAACGATCCCACACGCCAACAGCGCTCCGGACTGACAGAAATAATAAAGAAAAATTCAGACATCTATAAATAATAGAACAGTCATTTCACAGTTGTACTGTAAAATTAAATAATAAACAAATAATTAAAATAAAAAAGATAATATAAAATGAAACAATGTAATAATAATAATAATTATTACATTATGTTTCATGTTATATTATCTTCATTTTTCAGTGAAATATGTGGACAATATTTGGTCGAGATACAACTATTTGAAAATCTGGAATATGAGGGTGCAAAAAAATCTAAATATTGAGAAAATCATCTTTAAAGTTGTTCAAATGAAGTTCTTAGCAATGCATATTACTAATCAAAAATTAAGTTTTGATATATTTACGGTAGGAAAGTTACAAAATATCTTCATGGAACATGATCTTTACTTAATATCCTAATGATTTTTGGCATAACAGAAAAATCGATAATTTTGACCCATACAATGTATTGTTGGCTATTGCTACAAATATACCCCAGCGACTTAAGACTGCTTTTGTGCTGCAGGGTCACATATTACAACATTTATATTTCTTATTTTGTTCAACATTTGCATTAACAATAATAACAACAATTATTATTATTATTCTATAGTCATATATTTTATATATATATATATAACAACAAAAATTGCTATTTTTAATTGCAATTAGATTTTTTCCCCCTCAAATCATGCAGCCTTTGAAGTGAGCACACTATTGAGTGTGTGGATCTGCACCTTGATGTAGTCCTCAGATGAATAAAGATATTTATCGATCTGCGTCAGCCCGCCGTCCACGTCCCACAGCAGAATCATTCCCAGAGACGCCGCCGCGCTGAGTATGCCTGCAACAAACACACATCTCATCACAGATCGTCAGATTAATGTCGTGCAACTGCCCAGACATGAGCCTGCTCTCACCGTGGTCCTTGTTCTTGTAGAGCCATTTGTTCCCGTCCTCCGTGAGCAGCTTGTCCTGTCCGAACGCAGCATTAACGAAGCCGTTGACGAAGGAGGAGGCCAGATTCATGCGAGCGGAGTCCACCTGTGAGCCGCTGCTGCCGAAGCCTGAGAGAAACACGGTCAGTAAAACACATAAAACACCGCGTCACACTCCTCCTGAGATCTGAAGCGGCTTACGGTTGTTCTCCAGGTGGGTTTTGTAAATGTCGTCTGGCACTTTCGGCTCCATGATGTCCAGCTTCAGACAAAAGAATCAAAATAAAACATCAAACATCTACAATAGTTACTTTTTTTATCTTACAATATATTAATATATATAATAAAATACATTATATTAAAAATTATATTTTACATTAAAAAACACTATTGACATGACAATAAAATATATTTTCACGACAAATTGTCAAACAAACATAAAATGATCCTGTAAGGACATAATATTTATATCAAATATATTATTAATTTTTTCCCCCACATCACATTATAAGTAGAGTGGAAAATTTCCGGAATCTTTCCAAAAATCCCAGGAATATTCCAAAAAAATCCTGGAAAGTTTCTAAAATGTCTAGAATGTTTCTGAAATTTACTGGAAATTTTCCACCTTTTTGCAACCCTAGTTATAAGTAACTGATTTTTTTCTCCATTTGATCAAAGACAAAAAAATATTTCTATTAATATATTTTTATATATAAATGCTCATTACTATATACACATTCATTTATATGAATTTATTAATGAATTTAATAAATTTCTTCATTAATATAAATTAATTATAATAATAATTATTATTAAAAATTAATAAGAAAATATATTTTCTTCAGACATTTTCAAGGCAAAGCAAACTTTCACTGAAATTTCTCATTGTAATGCAAAAAAACTATTCTCAATATGTGGTTGAAATAATAATAATTTACATTCACATTATTGTCATAGAGGTATAAAATTATCTTGTCTGGACAGAATGATATTTTTATTAACATTTAAATTATTTAAATTTGGTCCAACTACCGTGATGCATATTTACAACTGTACTTTACAATTCACTCACACACTTTTTTTAATTGAAATAATATCAAATATTTCTGTTGCACCCTAACCCTTGTTTCTTTTGAGATTCTGTAGTGAAATATGACCAGTGTGTGTGTGAGTGACGTGAGTGTGCGTGTGAGTGAGTGCGTGTGTGTGTGAGTGCGTGAGTGAGTGTGTGTGCGTGAGTGAGTGTGTGTGTGTGAGAGTGTGTGTAAGAATGTGTGTGTGTGAGTGAGTGTGTGTGTGTGTGTATTTCATCACCTCTCTAGCGAGGGCAAGGAAGTTGCTGTTGAGCTGCACGTTGGACATGATCTCCGTCAGATCTTCAAAATCCTCCACATCTTCATTGAGCTCCAGGAACATGCCGTGTCGACCCAACATGAACGACATCTGCTTCTGAATGACACTGAACACACACACACACAGCAGACGTTACTATCCATGCAAACCAGTTTGAGATTCGGTTTTAGGATTTTTCATGTGCATCATACATGTCCTTGCAGGAAGTAAAGATGTTCTCCACCAGCTCCACGTCATTAAGCATCAGCGCGAGCCTGAGGGCTTCTGGGTAACGGTTAAACTTGCGGAAGATGTTGAGAGCGCATTTCAGCAGAGCCGAGTTCTCCGGCTCGGGGACGTAACTCACACAGCTGGAGACACAAACACAGATCAGAGCGGGACGACACACTCAGAGACGCGTGCTCAGATGCACTGTGGGTAACCGCGTCTCACCTCGTCAGGTACAGGCAGACTTTAGCGTAGGCGTTTTCGTCGATGTACGTGTCTAGCATGTCGAGCCGCTCGATTTCCATCAGGAGGTCACAGGCCTCGTGCTCGGCATTATGGGCCATGTTATACGGGACGATCTCTTTGACCAGCTTCAGCAGCACTTCCTGTTGAGCTTTATCCCCTTCCTCGATCTCCTGCCATTCCTTAGCGACCTCTCCTGCCAGATGCCTGCAAACACACACAAGATCACCAACAGGTCACCGACCGGTTCATTTAGTTCGTTTTAGACACGAATGAAATCACAGGCTGCACTTCTGAGCAACAACTCGTCAAAAGCAAGTTTGTGAGGTTCATAGAAATGCAAAAACTTCAAGAAAATTAACAAACATAAAAAATTAAACCGAGATCACTGGTTTCTAGTCTAATGCAGTGCTGTTTCAGTATTATTTACATACTATTTTTGAATGCATAAATATTTAGAATTAGCTTTTATTTTTATACTTTCATTTTAATTTTCAATAATTTTATGTGCTTTTGTCAGTTTTATTTTGTAATATTTCTATTTATCTTTATTTTTAATAATTTCTCACTTAGAATTTAAAAAAGGACATATATATTACATTTAGTCATTTAGCAGATGCTTTTATCCAAAGTCACTCACTCGCTCTCTCTCACACACACACTCACTCTCACACACACACACACTCTCACACACACACTCACTCTCTAACACACACACACTCTCATTCACTCACACACACACACACTCATTCACTCTCTCTCACACACTCCCTCTCATTCACTCACTCTCTCACACTCCCTCTCACACTCTCTCTCATTCACTCACTCTCTCTCTCACACACTCCCTCTCATTCACACTCACTCTCTCACACACACACACACACTCACTCTCTCACACACATCGCAGTCACAACATGTTTAATTTCTGTAACATCCGGTGGGAAATAATAGGTCAGAACGCGACTTTTTGCATAAGGATTTGATTGTTTCGTGAAAATGGCCAATGACATTATTCGCAAACATTTTTTTGCATCAGCAATTCATTTCATAAAAGTTTTTATTTTTTCATTTTAAGCATTTTGTTTTGTGCTTCTATCATTTTATTCAAAATATTTCTAAATAGTTTTAATCTCTTTTTATTTCAGTTTTAGTCATTTTAGTACTTCAGCTTATTTTCTTTCTTTCTTTTATCATTTTAATTTTTTTAATATCTCAAAATAGTTTGTAATTCTTTTTATTTCAGTTTTAGTAATTTTAATACTTTAACGTCAACTTATTTCAGTTAGTTGCCAAGAAAACATTTCTAATTGTCTTTAAAATATTCAATTTTATTTGGTCTTTTCTTGTTTGTTTTTATTAGCATTTGTATTATTTTTAATTATTTCAAAATTGTTTTAATCTTTTTTTTTCAGTTTGAGTATTTTTAGTACTTCAACTTTATTTTAATTTCTTTTATATATTTCAAAAAAGTTTGTATTTCTTTTTATTTCAGTTTTAGTAATTTTAATACCTTAACGTCAGCTTATTTCAGTTAGTTGCCAAGAAAACATTTCTAATTATCTTTAACCTATTCAATTTTATTTGGTCTTTTATTTTTAATTTTTGTAGAATTTCTATTCTTTTTAATTATTTCTAAATAGCTTTCATTTCTATTTTATTTCAGTTTTAGTAATTGTAGTACTTCAACTTATTTTCTTACTTTTTTTTATCATTTTTAATATTTCAAAATTATTTTTTTTCCCCAGTTTTTAGTAATTTTAATACTTTAACGTCAATGTATCTCAGTTAGTGGCCAAGAAAACATTTCTAATTATCTTTAAAATATTAAATTTTATTTGGTCTTGTTTGTTTTTATTAGCATTTTTATTATTTTCAAATATTTCTAAATAGTTTTAACTTCTTTTTATTTCAATTTTGTTAATTTGAGTACTTTAACTAATTGGTATATATTATTATTATTATATCATTACTATTATTAGTATTGATTATTCATTATTTAGCATCAATTATTCGTTTTTTTTTTATTATTATTAATTTTATTGCGAAACATGGACGATTATGTTATCGGTAAACATTATTTTGCAATTTTTATTTCAATTTTGTTAATTTGAGTACTTTAACTAATTGGTATATTATTATTATTATTATATCATTACTATTATTAGTATTGATTATTCATTATTTAGCATCAATTATTCGTTTTTTTTTATTATTATTAATTTTATTGCGAAACATGGACGATTATGTTATCGGTAAACATTATTTTGCATCAGCCAGCCATTTCATAAATTAAGAAATCCATTACACCTTGATCCAGAATTATAAATCGAACAATTCAGACATTATTAGGCAAGTAAACGGTCCTGATTTTGCTTCTTAACACGTGTCAACATGGCAGCTCCCCAAAAACAATGAAGCAGCAGCACTTACACCGAGTCTCTCCACGAGCATCTCCAGCTCCTCCTGAAGCTGTCTGTCCTCCTCTGACTGCAACAACAACACATACAGACTGGTTTACAACAGCACACACACATGAACTTCTCCTCAGTGCGCCGTATTTATGAACTATATCCATACATTCCTTCAGTAACCCGTGTGTTTACATCTCTGTCTGATATATGAAGCCGCATATAAACACCCATCGACTGTCTGAATGGCCGGTTTATTCAGCACGTCGGTCGTATTAACGTCTGATAACCACAGATGCGGTGTTTTACCGTGTCTTGTGTTGTTACAGATGCATAATCGCTGATAATAACAGAAACGAGTGTGTTTTGTGGATGTGTGTGAGTGTGCGGCCTGCGGAGTGACTCAGGCGGAATCCAAACTCAGCCCTCAGCGCCCGTTTCTCTCTCTCTCACCAGCTCCTGCTCCTCTTTCTTGTCCTTGTCTTTCCCCGCCGGTTGTTTGTTCTTCTCCTCCGTGATCTCCGCCTGCTTTTTCTCCTTTTTCGCGGTTTCCTCCATGATTTTGCCTGCTGCTGTTTCTCTGAACGCGACTCGCCACCGCCGTTTCTTCTTCTGCGGCTGATGCGTGTGAGCGCTCTGAGTGCTGCAGCACGTCACCGCCACCCCGCGGCCGCAACGAGAACTGCACTGTTTGTGTTTCCCCTTAGGTACCTAGAACTAATTTTTTATTTTCAAAATAATTTGCTAAATTAATTATTGTGTGTTTCCCCTTTTACTTCGGATCAGATTTAGTTTTTGTTTATGCAGGCGAGTGATTGTCCAAGCAGGTACCGTATCCTAGAATAATTTTTTTATTTTCAAAATAATTCGCTAAATGAATTATTGTTATTGTCACCAACTATATTTCATAGGCTATTTTTGAGCAGCACAGCATATGCCAGTGTTATTTTAGCAACAGTGTTGGGGAAAGATACTTTTAAAAGTAATGCATTACAATATTGCCTTACTGCCTAAAAGTAACTAATTAGGTTACTTAGTTACTTTTTATGGAAAGTAATGCATCGCGTTACTTTTGCGTTACCTTTTCTCATCGTAGCTGGGCTTGCTTCATTTTTTTGACTATATATATAAAAAGTTCTACTTTTGGCAAATGTAAAAAGCCCTTTCAATTCACATCTGTACAGCAGAGGGCGCTGCTCAAACAAGCCTTTCAGCTGTGCTGAGCTGTCAATACACCAGAAAACAAAGCAACTTGCGTTACTTATTTGAAAAAGTAACTCAGATATTTTCTTCTAAATTCAAAAGTAATGCGTTACTTTACTAGTTACTTGAAAAAAGTAATCTGATTACGTAACTCGCGTTACTTGTAATGCGTTATCCCAAACACTGTTTAGCAACTAATAGTTTTTATTAATATTTAGAATTTTTTTTATATTTTCCATTTTCATTTTAATTCTTGTTAAAATTTTTGTAATTTTGCTGTGTCTTTTTTTATCATTTTTATTAGTTTTTATATTAACTTTATTTTAGTACATCAAGTTAAACTAATGAAAATGAGAAATGATGATTAAAATGAGAAATCACAACTAACTGAATATTTAATTTGATTGTATTTCAAGTAATGATTTTTTTATGGTTTTAGTTTTTCATCAGCACCATCATTGTTTAATGCGTCAGTCATTTTTGTCATTTCTACTTTACTTTATGAGTTTCTACCATTTCTGATGAATTCTGAGATTTTCTTCATCAATAATTATGTTAAAAGGTGTCAAAAAAGTACAATAAAGTTCTCAGTGCAAAATAAATATTTTAAAGCAACTGTTAAAAATTATTCAGTTGTTGCAAGTTGATGTTTTTCCGGGATGGTTTTAATTGATCTAATTCTTACAGGTTTATGTTACCCGTTTATTATCATAATAATAGTACGATCATTGCTTATGTTCCTCAGTTGTTAGCAATTTTGAATAAAAGCGTCTGCTGAGTGAATATATATAAATGCTCCATGAAATCTGAATCCTCATGTTTTACTACAGTGTGAACACACACACACACACACACACACACTGGTTTCCATGTTTTATGGGTTCATTCCATAGGTGTAATGGTTTTTTACTGTAGCTACAAACTGTATTTCTTACCCTAACCCTAACCCCTACCTCTCAGACAAAACTACCACAAGCACAAACAAAGCTACAGTGGAAATCTGTTCAGCGGTGATAATGGCGATTAGTGTGTGACCACAGATTGCTGATGGCAGTGTGAACACACACACACACACACACACACACACACACTGGTTT